CATGGCATCGACGAAATCATCGACGAAAATCACATTACCTAAGATAAATGAACATAAATTAGGGACAAATCTCGAACCAGACAGAACGAAAAATGACACTGAAGATGGCACAACGCCGAAACCGGTTTGTCTGCAAACCAAACTTGACAAGGGATGACGGAAATTCGTTCCAAAATAAAATAATTGTTTAAAAATAATAAAAAGAAAAATGAGTTGCGCACACGCAAAATGTATTCAACAAAATGCGCGTTCCTTATCTCCCAGAAATAGTCAGAAAAAGTCCGAAGTAGTCAGATTTAGTCCAAAAAGCGTTCCTTAACTCGGAAATGACAGCAAAAATGAGAGAGCAACAGTCAGTGAGAGCGACTCTCATCAGTCCGAAGTAGTCAGATTTAGTCAGAAGAATTTTTTCTGGCAAAATCCTGAAAAGTGTCAAACTCAACTGAATTTAAATTAACGGAAATTAAAGAATACGCAAAAAGTGAGAATAATCTAAAAAGTAAAAGAAATGAATTGAAATTGGAAGGAGGCAAAAAATAATTGATATAGCAAGTGTTTATTGTGCTTGTGCTTGTGTGAATGTGTTTTGTACATACATTTCTGTTCTTATTTGACGTTAGTTTTGTTGTTGCCATTCTTTGGACTAAAAATTTGGTTTTTTGCGTTCCTTTACTTTTCCTGTTACTCTCTTTTAGTGAGCGCATTTTGCTTACGCTCTGGCATTTTGACACTTTTCAGATTTTAGTCCAAAAAGATAAGGAATGAACCTAAAGTGTGATTGATTTTGACATTGCTCTCATAAGAAACAGGTTATAATGCCAAACTGAAACGAATTCTTAACCCATTTGAAATTTTTTTTTTTTCAAATTTTAATTTGTTTAAAAAAAAAAAAGTTAGACACAAATTTTTCAAGCAACAAATTTTCTTAATAAACGTGAAATTGTTAAGAGATAAACCGCCGAGGAGAGCAAGTAAGTACATTTAAAGTTGGGTAATAAGTAAATACGTTCGACTTTTCTTAAATATTTAAAGTAAGGAAACCAAGATGAAACGGAGCAAAACGTTTGAACGGTGCGCTGTATGCAATAGAAGTCAGGATACGAAAATAGAGCGATGTTTTAAACCACCTAGTTGCGAATTAAGACGGCAGCGATGGAAAGAAAGCTGTGGTGTTGTACTACGTGATTCATCTCGCGTTTGTGAAAACCACTTCAAGGAAAGTGATTTCATTAGTTGTCCGTCCGAATCAAGCACTTTCAAACGAGCTCGTTTATACCCAGGCGCAGTTCCAATGCCATACGAAATAACTGATACCATTGAGGTTATAGTACGCGATCAGGATACATTCTTTGTTGATGTCCAAACTCAAACAGGCGACTCTTTAGAATGCACGTTGAGAACATAAATATTTCTTCTTACCGAAATAATTAAAATCATGNTTGAGAACAGAAATATTTCTTCTTACCGAAATAATTAAAACCATGCAAGCTAGTATGGAAGAGCTTAATTTAAAAGTGCTCGAAGCAAAGTCTTTAATGGAAAAAATAGTTTTCGCATGAAAAAAATTTAATTTCAAAATTGTTAAAGTTAAGCTCACATATAAAATTGGAAACAAATGTAAAATCCTACTTTTATAAGTGTCGAATAATGTTTAGGATAAAAAATTTAAATATAAAAATAAACGCATAAAAGCTGCGCTGAGCAATTAAAAACAAGAAAATTGCTAAAATTATTTTGTAAACAATTTGTTTTATTTTATTCACAAAATATATATATTCCAGGTAATGTAAGTAAAACAAAACTACAATCGAAATAAAAGCCTAGGGCATCAGTGCTGACAATATACATGGAAGCTAAGGGTTAATTTGTTTGTTTATACTTTTTGACATTATAGTACCTTAAAAGAGAGCCGCACTGAACCGTCAATCACACCTTGTTTAATACACCTTGCGCACACGATGTAGAGAGACAGAGGTGGCGCATTCAGCAGTACCGCGTCTTTGGTTTTGGCGAATTTGACAGAATCAGCTGTTCGTGTGACGTCAGGATAGAAGTAGTTCTCTAGTTACTAATAATTATTACGAGTTTTTGCTATTGAAAATTTTTAACTATAAAAAATTGCAGAAACAATTTGCTAAGAACTCGCACTACTAATTTTNTGAGCAATTAAAAACAAGAAAATTGCTAAAATTATTTTGTAAACAATTTGTTTTATTTTATTCACAAAATATATATATTCCAGGTAATGTAAGTAAAACAAAACTACAATCGAAATAAAAGCCTAGGGCATCAGTGCTGACAATATACATGGAAGCTAAGGGTTAATTTGTTTGTTTATACTTTTTGACATTATAGTACCTTAAAAGAGAGCCGCACTGAACCGTCAATCACACCTTGTTTAATACACCTTGCGCACACGATGTAGAGAGACAGAGGTGGCGCATTCAGCAGTACCGCTTCTTTGGTTTTGGCGAATTTGACAGAATCAGCTGTTCGTGTGACGTCAGGATAGAATTGTCTGCGATAAGTTTGTTCTCGTAGTTCTCTAGTTACTAATAATTATTACGAGTTTTTGCTATTGAAAATTTTTAACTATAAAAACTTGCGGAAACAATTTGCTAAGAACTCGCACTACTAATTTTTACTAGCTTAGTGTTTCATTATTCTTCTCTATTTCGCTATTTCTGGGCGTAATATTAAATTTTTCTTCGATCTTAGATTTTCTGTTCAAGTAGAATGAATGTCAAAGTAGATGAACACAACTACGGGTTGTTTACAAATGGCGGCCACCGCTATTTTTTGACTGCTCCTTCTCCACTATTCATTGCAAACGTGACGTCATCGCCCGCAGGAATGCGCAATCTTGTATTCTATCATTCTTGGCTGAGGGCAGCGGCAAAATACGATCCACCCCTGCAAAAATCGCGACTACTCCATGCATGCGTGTAAAGAGTACTCCCTAAGAACCAAGGAGTACTCCAAAATTAACCACAATTCATATAAAAAATATGGTCCAATTAACATTGCGATGTCCTATGGCAGGACGATATACTCCATCCCTGCATTACATCAGAGTAGCACAAAACTACTCCAACATATTAACAATGGTACAAAAGTACTGTATTACAGTTTGTTAAACATTAATAATCTTGTTTGTAAAAATTTTAATTGTACCTTGTCATAAGCAGCTGAATTCGTTGTCGCCGTAGTTGTATTTTACTGAGCGAAATTTTTGGGCGAAAGTTTCGGACGCCGTCGCTCTACTAGGCGAAAATTCCCCGTTTGCCGTGGACTACTTTGGTATAGCCGATTTTTAAAGCTCTCGATTTATAGTAAACAACGCAAATGCCCTGAAATTCACTACACTTTTACTCAAATCATCGTTTTTCACATTTCATTTATTAATTTTTTATTACAAATCAAATATTTTCACAATTTAAAACAATTCAAATCAATTAAATATCGAAATATAATATTTTGAAAATGTTTCCGCTCCCCCGCGACCCCTTAGCACCCCAACGTTAATTTGCACAAAAAAATATGCCACTACAATTAGAAAAAAAAAAGGCGGCCCCGCCCACTTTTTTAGCTCAACGGCCCCGTTTCTTTAGGTATTCTTCTTTTCAATAAACATATTTAAATTCTAATTTCTATGAAAATTTATTATTATTTGATGGAATACTATTTTCTGAGTAGTTTTATTTATCTGCAACCAGTATGTATTTTTCTTCCTTTTGCTGTTCGGTCCTTCATAAGTTCACCATGATTCAATATTATTGGGCCTCCTCACACTAACCTCCTCAGTCGGATTGAGCAGTCTACCATTCGAAAGCTCACTGGACTGGTCAGTCGGCCGAAAACACATTTCAGTTTTATATGTATGAACCACGCATGAACCAACGACTACAGATCACCTAATCAGCCATCGTTGTATTTGTAATCGATTTTCAGAAAAAAGTTTTCGTAGCGTTTTTGACGTTTTTCGGTTTTGTTTACACCGTCTTCTACCTCTTCGTAGTTATTTTTTAGCGATTGAATGTGTTTTCTGCAGCGATTTTAATTATAAATTTTGGTTTATTACATATTTATGATATAAAATAAAGTGCTGTGTGATCGGAACAAGTTTGTGCGTATGTTTGGTTTGCCAAAAGGCGTAAATTTGCGTGAAAAGTGGGTGCACGTTTGTGGCCAGAACGTTGGCATTGAAAAATCGACCCGTGGTAATGATATGCGATTGTAAAACACTTTCAATCATGAAAACCATATTTTATGAACTTTTTTTGCTAATTGTCATCAAGTTTCACTTTGTATATTTTATAATAAATACCAATTTAATCGCACTCAATCACCGCGCCTTTTTCGTTTTCTTTGTTTGTTTTCATTCTTAGGCAGATGTCAAAAACACTCAGAAATATACTTTTTTCTTGCTTCTTTGATTAGGTGATCTTGTATTTTTGGTTCATGTGAACCACGCTTTATTGAACTTGTGGCACATTCAAACAAAACGAAGTACAAAACATGTCGTCTATGTGTGCGTGTCAGACCACGATTTTCGCGGGCAGAAATAAACGAGATAAACACGAACTCCCTTCCCCCTGTAATTAACACAAAACCGGTTTTAGCCGCACTGAGCAGTCCAGTGTGCGGAGGCCCATTAAATCATGTAAATTCACCTGCTGGCAATGCTGTTCGGCGGGAAACGTAAAACAAATCGAACATAGCCACAACCAGTGTTGCTGCTTTTTCACACATCTGACATATTTACATTGCACCAAAGAACGTACGTTCTACGTTCTTTGATTGCCCTACAATTAGTTTTTCTTTTCATACGCCTGCGGATGTAAAGCTCACAATTCAGCACTGCTCAAATAACATTTAAATGAAATAAAAGCACTAACTGTCCGTAATTACATCTCTTTTCTGTGCTGCTAATGTATGCAAATCTAGTAAAGCAAATAAGTTCAATGTTGTAAATCAAATCGTGCTGGCAGCCCTGTGCTGTTGCCATTCTATATTCGTAATTTGTTATAAGCAGTCGCGGAATCCTTTGCGGTGTTTCTACTGCAATTTTTTGATATTATATTAGCAATTTAAAGTGTTTGAAAGGTGTGCATGTCTTGAAAATATGCTATAAGCCACAAATTGTTAAAATTTAGCAGTAAAGTGAACTTACAAAACTATATATGGCTTGCTGAAAAATTGGAGACGAATTTGCAAGTCGCCATGAAGCTACCGACAATTGCAACAACAACAACAGTGATTTAGTGTCGAACGTCGTCGTCATTGGCTCGTAGCAGTCGCGGCCGCCGCGAAACTGCGAAGCAACGAGAATTATTTCGAACGGCAAACGACGGACAGGCTCGTAATAGAATACAAAGAACAGAGAGAATGTAAAAAATAGCACAAAAAACGATAATAAGAAAATTGTTAAAAAGGTTCAGAATATGTAATAGCAAAAGCAAATAAAAATTGATAGAATTTTGCTTGTTGCCATATTCATACCTGAATTGTGGTGGAAATGCGAAACGGTAGCCATGCTGAGTGCAACTTTTTTAAATTTATACTCGTAGTAGTAGTAGCTCGTTACTGTTTGCAAATCAATGAAAAGTGGGAATTTTCTTTTTTAGGGGTAAACCTTGTAACAAAAAACATGTTTGTAGAAGTGGCAAAACTATTAAATCAATTGCGCGCTAATAGTTTCAATCAAATTTAACATACGAGTTGGCCGCAGTTACAGGGGCACATAGTGCGAAAATATCAAGAGAATCTAGTCACGCGGTGGCTCAATCGCAAATGGTGCTTTCTAAAGAATTGTTTAATATTCGTTACTCGAACAATAGCCGCTAAAAATGCCCGACTATTAGAGCAAAATATTGAAGGTTGTGCACTTATTGAATAAGTGCAGGTAAAAGATATTGGAAATTGAAAAAAGAATCTGGCGAATGGACCGGAAAAGAAAACAATAGCGTGGAGCAAACCAAGCGGCAAAGTAAAGAAGAAGATAAAAACGACGCAGCAAACAGAAAAAGTAAAAAAGTCAACCTAAAAAAAAAATCAAATTGCACTTTGTGTTGTCATTCGTGTCTTTAAAATTTCCACCCGCAATCGTCTGCACGTTTTCGCGTACACATGTCCGAAAGGAAGGAATAAAATAAAAAAAACGCGTTGTCCATAAATTCTGCTTTTGTGTCGTTGTACGTTGCTGTTTTTGGCGTCGCAACCACCGGTCGTTGCCGTTTGCGACGACGCCGGCGCTGCCGCTTGTGGTTGCTTGTGGTTTACCCCACGAATACAACAAACACTGCGACTGTGTACAAAGAGGAATTGAGCAAAACGTCGTTCGTCGTCGGCTAATCTCCTTTTTGTTTTCTTTACTTTTTATCTATAGTGTGCGAATTGAATATGCGTAAAGAGAATTTATGACAGAACACAAGAAAACTTAAAATAAAGCATTTTTAAAATCTATGTACCAAAAGTAAATTAGATACTTTGGCTTGTGGGAATAAACATAAGATAACAAAGAGAAAGCGTGGAGGCAAAGTGCTAAAATAAATTAATTGGAATAATATAAGTGAAATTTTACTTAGTTGTAGTTATTCATTACTTCCATTCAACATTGTGACACCAGGTCGTCCCAATCCCAATATATTCGAGAACAGTAACGCAAATATTCAATTGACACCACTTGCGCCATAAGTAGCTGCTGCATCCAGCGCATTGCGAAGTTGTCATGGCCGGTAAGTTCCTCCTTTGGTATACACATGTAGTAAGTATGTATGTACTTATAAATGGATACGTATGTATGTGACTAACTATTGTGCTATAGTAGATTCGTCATGCAGTTTAGGAGGTCCCTTCTAGCTTGCCTAAACATCCATTTTGTTGGTACATGAGAGCTTCCGTCGTGTACGTTGTTTCCGTTCAAGATATGCTTGGTAAATTCTATATGACTATTTGACATTCCATTAAAGACTGCCAATTGAACGAACTGAGAATAATTGCATGTGATATGCATCTACAACCCAGTAGATAATTTAAGAGGCCTTCAACTCTGCATACCCATTCTCCTTTCGTTTTTTTATGTTGATGGCATCTGCTAAGTTCTTTTGGGAAACACATATGTACATATATGTATGTACCCTTGTGGTCAGCTGATTAAGTCAAGTGACATTTTGACTAGTTTGGCTATTTTTCTTTTGCTTATTTAATGTTTATATTTTTCATAAAAGTTTAGCTTTTTATCTAACAAGCGCTACATAAATCCATACATATTTCAAACTTCGTACAAAAATTATGAAAATTCAACTAACTTTTTAACATTTGCACCCGAAAATTTGAAACTTTTTATTTAGAATTATTAGAAAGATTTTGGGTATGCCGTTTTGTAGCTCATTAAATTTTACGTAAGTTAAAGTGCAAATTCCAAGACGGTAGAAAGTCGCGTTGATTTTTAATAATTTTTTTGGCTGACGGTGTTGTGCATTTTCTTTAGTATAAAATATGCTCGACAATTTAGTTTGAATATAAAAAATCAACGCGATAATCTAGCGTCTTGAAATTTGCACTTTTTCCTACAAAAATTTCATGATCTACAAAACTGCATACCCAAAATCTTTATAAAAAGTCTGTATAAAAAGTTTAAAGTTTTTGGGTGCGAATGGTTAAGTTTGTTAAATTTTTGTACGAAGTTAGAAATTTGGGTTTATGTGGCGCTGGTTAGGTAAAGTGCTAAACTTTTATAAAAAAATATAAACATTAAATAAACAAAATAAAAATTCCCTAAACTTGCCAAAATGTCATTTGACTTATAGCGTTTTCTTTTCTCGAAAAAATACTGCTTTTTTCTGCCCTGCGGCAGTGCTGTCAAGTTTTCGTGTTCTTTTGNTTGTACGAAGTTAGAAATTTGGGTTTATGTGGCGCTGGTTAGGTAAAGTGCTAAACTTTTATAAAAAAATATAAACATTAAATAAACAAAATAAAAATTCCCTAAACTTGTCAAAATGTCATTTGACTTATAGCGTTTTCTTTTCTCGAAAAAATACTGCTTTTTTCTGCCCTGCGGCAGTGCTGTCAAGTTTTCGTGTTCTTTTGTCAGCATCTTCACATGCATATTGCGTGCTCTTTCTTTAAAATGTTGCACTCTGATAATGTTGCCATATAAGGTGAGATTTTTTCGAGAAAAGATAACACCATTAATCAGGTGACCACAAGTTTATGTATTTGTACTTCAGAAGAAGAGAAGAAGAGAGGAGTTCTTTTAAAATTTGCCCTCCAGATATTTAATTAAGTTGTCACTTAAAATGCATACCGAAATTCATTTGTAAAGTGACAGTTATTTATTCTCGTAAATTGTAAATAGGAAAAGCCCTTCTAGAAGGCATGCAGGAAAACCATTTTATCATCCCTTCATGGACAAGCCTTTTAGAATGGCTTTACTTAAGAAGTCCTACCTAAATTATCCTTCTGGGATGAAGTGTACATCAAATATCTAAATGTACTGTTGTTCACAAAATCATAGTAGTGCGATATTTTGATCATTTCAATTCTCAGAAATCAAGGGGAGTTTTCACCAACTTGAAACTTGCACTTCATCAGACTAGAATTACATGGGGTACAAAACTGCATATGAAATTTTTTCTAGATTCGGATTAAAAAGTAATACATTTTGGTGAAAATTTGTAGATTTTTTATAATTTTTGTACAAAGTTTGAAAAGTAAATTTATATGGTGTTTTTTGTATATCCAGCTAGACTTTTATAAAAAACTAATAAACATAAAACAAACAAAAAGTCAAATAGCCAAAACTGATCAAAATATCGCACTACTATTATTTTGTAGACAACTGTGCATATATATGTATGTACATGCATACAAACATATGCACGTACATAGTTGTGAGGTAATCAAATGCATGCCCTTTAGTAAAAGGCATACATAAAACATTTGTCGACTTTTTACCAAAGCACATGAGAACCAAGTGCACTTGACCATAGAAGAACTATATGAATATCTATAATTGCAGCTTTACTATGTACATTCATTCATTTGAGGATATGTTAGTTAGAGATATGTGGGTTGGGGGGTGACCGTCATTAGCCAGGCGTACATAAATCTGGGGCGTACTGGTTACGTAGAGCGACTGTCGTGTGAACGCTCAACTAACGGTAAGCCCAGGTAGCATCCTGTTTTTACAGACCCGGACCAAAGGGATAGGGGTGTTGGCTAATTGGGTGCATGGACAAATAGGTGGTTGATGCCGTGGGCAAAGCCCTCAGTAGGTGAATATATGTATGTATGGATAAAAAATATCAAAACTCACTTCTAAAAAATATTTTTTATTAATTTAAAATTTATTACATTACTTTGAACTTTATTAACCCTGTATATAAATTTAATTTGTGTAAAATAGGCCTAATTCGCGTTTACTGTAATTAAATAATAGCAAACCTCAAATCTTTTCATAGCTTTAAAAATTCACATATTTGGTTGTTGTTGTAACAGCATACAAAAAAAAAACAGCATACAAGCAAAGGAATTTGGGGAATAACGCTGGAGTTACAGTCCTTGGTCAGATATGAATCTAGTTCGTTTCGATTACGTAGATCCGACTGCCGTGGGAACGCAAATACATATTTTGTTGAATTGTTCCAGTTTTTAAGTATCTAAGTGCCATGTCCTTTTAAAAACGCATAAGTTACAAAAATTTTAAGGAGGCCTTTTCGAACTGGCTACCGAGATAGGTCGATCTTCCACTCATGTATCGATATATTGTACATTGAAATGCTTGCAACGCCTAAGTGCTAATAGAAAGAAAAAAAAATTTGCAATAGTCCGCAAAAATAACTTCCTTAATTTACGTATACATTTTAAAAATTGTGTGCGCTCCGAAGAATTAGTGTCAAAAACAATGTCCAATCGTCTAAACTCAAATTGTACATTTTAAGTCAAGCCAAGTTTTATAGTGGATTAGGAGGAAAAGTGTATTGAATCGTTTTAGTGTCAACTTACTTCCAACAAAAAAGCGTCGAGCAAACAGCCGAGTATATTTTTGAATGAAATTTCACTCAAGTATCAAAAGTATGTTTCTTTACGCGTGGAAATCATAAAGAATTTGATCCTTGTATCTGGTAATTATTGATAATATTTATGTACCTCTTACAATGGCCTTTCTAGTACATACTCTTCGACTGGAAATCATTAACTGTTTAGTATCTATAGTTGCGGACAAAAAAACATTCCAATATATAAAAGTTCGTCCCAGCCATCCGTATGCCTACTAACCCACAAGCTCAATTAAAGTCGGGAAATAATACAATACTAAAAATAGCTATTTATTTAGTTACTATCTCTTAAGTCGTGCAAAGCCCCATACATTTAAATAAATGACCTGAAAATCTTTTGCTACTTCCGCTGTTCTTTGCTTGTCATTTTCAATGTGTTAATACATTCATATATCTATATGTATATTTACACATGTATTTATACTATAAATTTATATATTTTTCCTAATCCACATTTCATTTATGACGTAATTGCTAACAAACATAATTTCGCAAATCAATATGTAGAACTTAAAACGATGACGTCGGCTAGCAAAAATCTATTATCATTTTATTTTGTTGTGCTTTTTGCCGGCACACGACATGACATGGGCACACATGCACATGTTTAAATACCTAAGTTAGTTGAATGAGGTCAGGAAGCGGCGTTTAGTTAGTAACAAAAGAACACGCAAAACAACAAATTCCATTGCATGATTTATGCGACGTGCATATAAATACATAACTGGGTACCTTTTGAATATATTTAATGCATATAATAATGATAAGTACATTGACGCTTATCCAATATGTTAGTGTTTGACCAAGCTTCTCCTCGAAGAAATTCGTTTAACTTGCCAATCGAGTTGATTTTAAATTCCAAGAGAGCGGCGGCCATCGTCACAAATATTTCCGAAATTGATAGAGCGTTTTTAAATTTTATTCTTGAAAAAATACATGTAATTTTTAAGCAAACTAGTAATTTTTAAGCAGAAAACAAAACCGACTTCAGTTCTCGTATAAAAATTTAATAGTACCGTTAATTGATTCATAGCCAAATGATCGAATCTAAATCAAATTAGTATGGGACCAACACCTTTCCGATAGAAAAAGAATAGTCAAAATCTGTTGACGTGATCCAACGTTATCCGGTAACATACATACATAAAAACGTTCAGCCGAATTGATAGCCTTGTCCTTTTTTGAAGTCGGTTAAAAACGAAACGACTTCAATTCCATATAAAAATTTAACAGTACCGTTAATTTCTTAATGATCCAATAATCGGATCTAAACGAAATTTGTATGGGACCACCTCCGAGGTATCACCTTTCCGTAAAAAAAAAACTCAGTGCGTGTAGTCCCTACGCGCGGAAGAAGTGAAACTTAATAGAGGAAATCTTCTCTTCATCTTCATCTTCATTTTCATCTTCTTCTTCACCTATATCTTCATCTTTATCTTCAACTTCATCTTCATCTTCATCGTCATCTTCATCTTCATCTTATCTTTATATTTGTTTTTGATTACATTCTTGTCTTTGCATTAGTCCTTTCCCGCCCAATTGGCGTTTAACGCAGCTATTCGTTTTCTATACCCGTCATATGCTACCTGTACCGTGGCGTTAAATATTTATCGCAAACATAACGGAGCTATAATAACAAGATTTGCTTAAGATAATTTGAGTTTAACTTTTTAAACAGGTGGCCACCCTCTTCAGGCACCTCAAAAATATTTTAATTGTGTTTCTGTAAGCTCTTTCTGTACTGTATAGTATTTTAAGCGTAAGACTTTTGTATAATTTAACTAAATTTTACTTTTGAAACAGGTGGCAACCCTCCTAATTTAGCTAGAAAATACAACTTATTCAAAACCATTTCTTTTGATACCCATATCGGGATAATTCGTTTAACTTAATAAATAATTTGAATTTGATTTTCGTATATATGGCAACCCTTTAAAAGACTAAAACCATACTACACATCTGCAGGTCAGGCCCTTTCATGTGACACCTCATTTTTGAAAATCGTACGAACAATACAGATTTTATGACTTGATCTTAAATATTTAACGCAACCCTCTGCGGCAGAGAAATTTTGAATTCGATTTTCTAACATGTGGCAACTCCTTTCATGGAACTAAGGCTATGGTGTACACCCGAAGGACAAGGCCTTTCATGTGACACCTCATTTTTAAAAATCGAACGAACGATACAGAGTTTATGGCTTGGTGTTAAATATTTAAAGCAACCATCTCCGAACGCGATTAAGAAGTTTCACTTCAAAACAAAAAAAGAATTATAGAAAACGCCCAATGTGGAGTTATGCGGTAACATACATAAAAATAATATTCCGACGAAAATGATAACAAACTTTAGGTTATTATTTACGTTACAGCCAGTGGAGCCATTTCAGTATCTCGTGAGTGGGGTTTGCATTCTGCGGGAAAAATCCTATATGTACTTAGTTGTACCACACGAAGTTAGAATATTGCCTTTTTAATTGTTGTGTAGCCCTAAAGGGGCTGGTACTGGAATCAAAAAATAAAATAATATCTGCTACAAAAACTGAACTAAAATCGCGTTTGAGCTACTAGTAAAGAATAGTAAATTTAAATAAATGATTACAAATATAATTTCATATTTTTCGTGTACGAAAATTTCCTTTAAATGTACACTGAAGAGCAAAACTGGAACAATAGAACGGAAAGTTAAATTTGTGGTTATGTACTTATTCAGTTTATTAACTTTATGATAATTCAAATTTACATTTTGCCTTACCGATGTTATTGGAATATGGGAAAGTTGCCAGACTAGACCGTCGGATTACCATTAATTTTTTCTACATGGAAAGGTTTCGACGAGTAGTTCAAGAATGTGTGAAATAGTCTATCAAAAAACCTTACAAAATTTCCTATTAATAATCCACCTTTTTTATTTTTTCTCGCCTACATAGGTAATGGAGAAGCGTCGTGGTGCTTCTCACAGATAAAAGGCGCCTTAGACGATGACGTTACCGATGCTGATATTATATCCTGTGTGGAATTCAATCATGATGGTGAATTGCTGGCAACAGGTGATAAAGGCGGGCGTGTGGTCATCTTTCAGGTATATAATCATATCTTGTGTTTACCACTATTCATCGTTTTAATAGATTTTTGTCTATTTTATTAGCGCGATCCTATATCAAAAACCTCAATACCACGACGCGGTGAATATAATGTTTACTCGACTTTTCAATCGCATGAACCCGAATTCGATTACTTAAAATCATTGGAAATTGAAGAGAAAATCAATAAGATCCGATGGTTGCGACGAAAGAATCCCGCGCACTTTCTTCTCTCAACCAACGATAAGACGGTTAAATTGTGGAAAGTCAGCGAACGGGATAAATCGTTTGAGGGCTATAACACAAAGGAGGAGAGTGGTCTTGCGAAGGATCCACAAAATATAACAGGCTTAAAAGTTCCTTCAGTTAAGCAAATTCCACTTATGGTGGAAGCGTCACCACGCCGCAACTACGCCAATGCACACACCTATCACATCAATTCAATTAGCGTTAATTCTGACCAAGAGACTTATCTGTCCGCCGACGATTTGCGAATCAATCTGTGGCATCTTGAAGTGACCGATCAAAGTTTTAATATAGTCGACATTAAGCCAGCCAATATGGAAGAGCTGACGGAGGTGATTACCGCCGCCGAATTCCATCCAACCGAGTGCAACGTGTTCGTGTACTCGAGCTCCAAGGGCACAATACGTCTATGTGATATGCGTTCGGCGGCGCTGTGTGACCGGCATAGCAAACAGTTCGAGGAGCCGGAGAATCCAACGAACCGTAGTTTCTTTAGTGAAATTATAAGCTCGATAAGCGACGTAAAGCTAAGCAACTCCGGACGTTATATGATCTCTAGAGATTATTTAAGTATTAAAGTGTGGGACTTGCATATGGAAACGAAACCAATTGAAACTTATCCGGTTAGTTAAATATTTTAATGATTACACTTAGCTATGAACTTATTTATGTTTGTTTTTATGTTTATATTGAGATTAAAATCTTCTTTTTTTTATTTTTTAAAAAATGATACCATTGGAATTGTTTCACTAGCTTATTTAATTTTTTATTTTTTTTTTAAATGATAAAATAGAAATAATTTCAAGAGCTCATTGAGCGTGGATACCAAGCGATAAAAATTTTTAAATGTCGATATATTTCGAAGAAGATATTTGATATTAGGAGATTATTCCCACCAGACAATTTTTGTTGGCGGCAATAAGAAAACTTGTCGCCCTCAGCAACAAATTAATTGGAGTTGCTCTAAAACGTCCGTCGAAGGCAACTCGCCTGGGCGAGTCGTTTTCTTATTACCTGTATGAGTCGTTTTATTATTGCTACAGACGATATTTGAATAATAATTTCTTGCAAAAATTTTATTCTTTTTTAATATTTAATTTGTTTTTGAACACAAACTTATAATTTGTAAACGAAATTAATTATTTTCGTCGCTATGGGGCTTCCTATTTTTTCAACCCTATCTTGGGCATTGATTAGATGATTTTGAGGAGTCCTGTTGACGCGAAGTTCATCAGTTTGGGAATTTTTGAAAACAAATGACAAAAGAAATAATGTTGCCGACTTCTCACTAGGGAAATAAATCGGCGAGTCACCAATTTGTTGCCATTGACGATCTCATGTTTTGCAGTTATGTTTAATGTTTTTCATTCACGGCGTTAGTCTTTTCTGAATAGAATACAAATACAATTAAGTTTACCAAAATTCGCACCTCTATATATCACATATTTGTTAGCAGAGCAGAAATGCATATTATTTCGGTACATGCGTACAAGTGTATATTTTCTAGAAGATGTTTAGTTAGCAGTGCGCGCTTCCATTCCTTAGGGCCTTGGTTCGTGCCCTGTTTCCGACCAGCATCAAAAAAATAAAAAAAATAAAAGTTTTTTCTAATAACAGTCGCCCCTCGGCATAAAACTGTTGTTATTAAATGGTAGACAAGTGGATGAGCTTATTTGCATTAACTCGTGCATTATCTCCATATACAAACGCGCATTAGCTCGCCGTAAATGCACAAAATAAATGTGCATTTAAACTAAAAATTTACATAGTTTTGCGGTTGATATGTAGATTGCCGCTGGCTTGCGACAAAAAAAACAAAAATTACTCGATGGAAGCTGTAAAAAAATTTAATGTGTGAAACTTTTATTTCCACTTTTTCTTAATTCAATTTAACTCTGTTCGTCTCTATACCATTTAAGGCTTAATTTTTATTTTACAATCAAGTCGTAATATTATTTTTTCTTCATTTCAGGTTCACGAATATCTACGCATTAAACTTTGCTCACTATATGAGAACGACTGCATTTTCGACAAATTCGAATGCTGTTGGAACGGCAAGGATACTTCCATAATGACGGGCAGCTATAACAATTTCTTTAGAGTGTTTGATCGCAATTCGAAAAAGGATGTCACGTTGGAGGCGTCACGTGACATTATCAAACCAAAAACGGTGCTTAAACCGCGTAAAGTTTGCACCGGTGGCAAACGAAAAAAAGACGAGATCAGTGTCGATTGTCTCGATTTCAATAAGAAGATACTGCATACCGCTTGGCATCCGCAAGAGAATATTATCGCTGTGGCGGCAACAAATAATCTGTTTATATTTCAGGATAAGTTTTAGCTAAAACTCCCTCATCTCCTTCAGTTCTTCATCACCATTATGGCGTCGTTAAGAATAATTATTATGATTAATTCTAAATTTTATACTTGTCGCTGCTACAATTGCTATCACTCACTACTTTCTATCAGTACTGTGTAATCAGAGCAAAAAAAAAAAAGTTAAGCGAAGTCCGGGGAGGAGGACGAAGACGAAGACGAAAGTGTAGGCGTAGGCGAAGTCACAACTCATAGTATATAAATACAACTCACTATTAGCGCTACAAATTAACGAAACAAAATCTATATTAGCATTGTTGATTATCGGTACAGCGCTAACAAGCCGTAAGCCTTAGCCAAAAGACACAAAAACGTAAAGTTTTTAGTTCTAAGTTTTGCACAAAGGTTTACATAAGCGATATTATTAATACATCGTTTGCGACATTACAAGGGTAGAAGGAGTAAGGGAGAACAGCTGGCCACATCAGCAAAGTGTTCGCCTGCTGTTGCACACAACAAAAACGCCTTAAACTAATGCTTTGTACAGTTACTCTGATTACAGTTCTTTTAAATTCCTTAAAATAATGTTGCCTCGGCTAAATCGGTTCAGTTATTTTAAGAAGGTGTTTTTATACAATATTTATGAGAAAACAGTAAGAATAATAAGTAAATATTAATGCAAACATTTCTTTGCTTAATTTATAATAAAAACGGAAATTGTTAATAATCAATGATTTTTTCTTTTTGTTGATTCGAATATTCAAAATTGAAATAAGATGAAAAATACATTAAAGAACTTCAATTAAAAAAAAAAACAAAAATAAAAAAAATTAATAGATGATAACTGCAGTTTGAACTCAGAAAACTAGACTAAAAACAGATAGGAAGAGAGGGAGAGAGAGCAAAAATGCAAAAAATTTAACTTTATTACACTATCTACAAGCTTAAGAACGCGCAAGTTATGTATTAGAAATAAAACAAAAACCAAAATTTTAAACCCTTACATTATTTAAAAAAAAAAAAATGTATGAAGACATGTGTTAATGGCAACAGTATATGTAGCATAGAGTTGTAATGGGGATGAAGATCTAAAATAAGGGATCGGTTTTCCACTTATCGAAAATTTGTCGATATTTGTGAAGTAGCAGAAAACAAAAACTATGCAAAACACCATACTGGAGCATAATTTTTTGTTTTTATATTACAATAAAAATTTGTTTCAGCAATAAACCAGGTACACAAATTCGTAGATATTTTTTGTTTTGCAAAAACAAAAAAATTACGCTATACCAACCTATTAGAGCATAAAAAATTTCCCACATAGTTATTTGGCGAGAAATATAGGCCTTGTGCCTTGGCGACACATCACTTTAATAAGGTCATTCGGTAAATAGTTCAACTTTTTTTTATGCAATTTTATAGAATATATCCGTTATTTTATTGGCGAAATCGCTATTTTTCGTTTTCAACCAAAAAACAGTCGTTAATCTAAGATTTTAATTTTTTCGCTCATTATCGATCGTTATAATTCAGTTGAAATTTTTTTGTTGTTAATAGTAAGATCGCATAAATGAAACCTGATAACTACGATTATGTGTGGTAAAAAAAATCAAGGAATAACGATATTTTTTATCGAAAAAATATATGCCAGATATTATCGATCAAATGCGATCGAAAAAATATGAGAATAATCTATGTAATATGATTGAGAAAATAAAAATCGCCTGAGATTATGAAACATGCTCGACAAAAGAGCACTCTAATTTAAAAGTTTATAGTATTTTTTTTTTATAAAAACGTTGCTGTCCCTAATTTCTGCATCCAATCGCCACTAACGAGAAATCATATACTTTTTTTACGATTAAACTTTTTCCCCGGTTTGGGTCAGTTATGAAACTTTCTAACTTGTTCCTATACACTAAATCCCCAAGAGGAAATTTAGAGGAACCGAATTTTGGAAGATTCTAAAAGAGAGGATATATACAAAAACCCATATTAGTCCGCGAAATTGGAGCGTTACATATATGTAACACTAGCGTGTAACGAGTTAAAAGTTCTAAAACTCCAGCAAACAATTTTTACATTGGCACAAAAATAAATGGAAAAGCAAGATCGTAGTTATTCTTGTTTTGGTACGAATCGTGTATACATACATATGTACATATGTAGTAAAATCCCATCTACAAATGAGGACATAAGGCTCGTCACGTAAAAACACATTTTTCGGATTATGGCTAATGTGACCAACTATTTCATAGCTCAAAAAAATACAGGTTAGGTTGGGTTAAGTTAACGACGAGAGCTGATTACGAAATTTCGAATGCATCTAATTTTGATCACTGAGAGCTCAGTGTTTGTTCAGACGTGCGAACCAAAATGCTTCCATCTTACCCTTGCGAAGGTTGGACAGTCTAAAAGAAAGCGTGGAGATGATTCCACTTCATCTTCCTTTTGACAGCTGATAAAAAAGGAACGGTTGAACTTCCTAGTCTCATCGAATACCAATCGCACAATGGCCTGTCAGAACCCACATCACTAGCCCTTGAAAGGGCATGTGCTTTAACCAAAAGTTTCACATCATCTACATAGGCGATCACCCGACAGCCCACTTTTTCCAGTTTCTCTAGAAGGTCGTTTACAACCTTAATCCAGAGCAGGGGAGAGAGAAAAGCAGCTTGTGGAGCGCTGCTAATGACTCTGCACTGAGTGCAGGCGCTGTCCCACTCCACCGCGACTGTTCGGTCACGAAGTAAGCTGTAGATAAGCCTTATTAGGTTGGTTTCAACCTCCAGATTATAAATATACTTGACTATTGCCTCTGGAATGACATTGTTGAAGGCCCCTTCTTTATGCGTGAAGGGTTCCTCTGACCGCTTTACCAATGCGTGCAGAGCTCTTGAAAGATAGTCACGAGGAATCGCATTTCTTATGTGTTAGTCTATCAGTCTCTCTAGTGTTTTTATCAAAAACGAAAAAATACTGATTGGCTTAAAATACCTAGGGGAAACATGCGCGCCTTTTCCGGCCTTCGTGATGAACGCAACACTGACTACCTTCCAAGACTTGGGGATGTACCCGGTTCTCACGCAGTTCGCATAAATAGGATTCAACCAATTGCACGACACGTTCAGAGGCCTTTTGCAGCTGAGCTGGTATGATGCTATCGGTCCCCGGCGACTTTAATGGTTTGAAAAAATTTATCGCCCAGGCCACGTGACGATCGTCCAGAAGATCGGAGAAGTGCAGGACCTGGGGGGAGATTCTGAAACCAGTTAGCGACAACTTTCGAATCGCTATCTCACTTTTTGACGCAAAAGCATTTATATCATGCGTCAAAAAGTGCGATAGCTATCCGAAAATTGTCGCTAACTGGTTACAAAATCTCCCTCCCGAAGTACAAAATATTGCAAAGAAGTACATTTGACTGTACTTCGAAGTACGAAGTACAAGAGCGAAAAATGAAGTACTGTACTTCCGAAAGCAGTACGGTTAGTCACATTAATTATGGCATACGTGAACGTACTCTTTGTCCCATTCAGCTTATACTGCCTGACGTATCACGTAATTTTTTTTTTCGTATCGTTTTCGATCCATGAACGGATGTTACAATTCGAGCCTAGTTTTTTGTCCAAGTATGCGTCAGAACTAAAACTCGCATGTCCCTTAATGGCGTCCCTTTATTGTAAATAACTTTTTTCATACACCAGTGTTGCCACTTTACCACAATTGTGGTAGATCTACCACATTTTGGGTAATATTTCACTTCTACCACAACTACCATATATTTACATAAAATAACTACCACAATTTTACTGAAATAAAATTATTAACCTAATTTGAAAAATGTTTTTTTTTCATAACAGGTGAACCGTGAATTTTCTCCTCAACATGAATTTAAATGTCAAGAAAATGTACTGTAATTTTGTGTTAGTTGAAGAGCTGAAGGTGCTGCCGTTTCAAAATTTCTATTGCGTGCGTGAAGAATAATTTGGACTTACATGAGGCGATTTTCTTAGAGATTCGATATCGCCTGTGATGTTGCTTACTAACAGTATTTCCACAGACAAAGATATATGTATCTACTAACGCAAAAAACGCTACAATCTACGATCTACCACTGTTTTTGTTGATAATCTCCCAACTAATTTGGTTTCTGAAGTGTCAACACTGCATACACCACTTAAAATTTTGAGCTATTTTCTTTGCCACATGGGCAGCAAACATAAGCAAAAAAGATTTACATATATATGTATGTATATGCGGATCGCGTACCTTAAAACGATTCTTGTTTATAAAAAATTATTATTTTTTTATATTCAATTGAATTTTTTACCAACTCAAATCAAGAATTATGAAATTATTTTTATTTTTTTGCTTTTCAGTTCAATTGTATTATATTTTTTTAAACTTGGTTCATTTTTTTGGTAAGAAACTTTAAGTCAATGAAAGGTACAGTAATTATTTTTTTTATGGAAGTAAAATTGAATGTTTAGCGCAAATAATGTTTTTTGAATTCTTTTCTTTTGTTTACGAGAAGTTGGTAAAAAATTCAATATATTAAAAAAATATATATAATTTTTAATAAAACAAGAATCGAAATTTTACAAATTGACCGCTTTATTTTGTTGTCCAATAAGTTTTTTAACTGCTGTCAAAAAATTATAAGATTCGAATTAATGGTTGTTGAAATATTTCAAAAAGTTTAAAAGCCACCTTAAAAATTTGTTTGCAAATAACTCGTCAAAAAATAAATTTGGCACAAAATCGTTGGTGTCAATATTGCACACGACATTAACTTTCAAAATCGGTCAAGGAAATATAAGAAATCGAAAAGTCAACTTTGGGTGCCCACTTGAGAAAACTGGATTCATGATTGAATCTATTACAGGTCCTGTAATTTTTTATAGAACAACTTGGCAATTACTGAAAACCTCTACTGACTTTGTACTAATTTGTCAACTATCACTCGACTGGTTAAAACTATTTATTTGTAATCGTACTTGGAATCGAAATATAAATCCGTGCAGTTGAAATACAGTATTCATATACATATATCTAACATTCAGTGCTTTTATTCATAGTCACTTTTATTTGCCATTGGCAATATTATGCGCCAAGGCGAGAGGAATGTATGTATGTGCTCTTATTACTTTATGTTTAAAGATATTGCTCATATACATGTACATACATATGTATGTGCATACCGTATACTAATTTTAATTTAAATATTGTTTATTCTTCTGCCAGTTTGTATTTCTATAAACATTTTCATTCCACAATACTCTGCCAAAGGAATACAAGAACATAATAAAGACGACTTATTTCTTATATGTACATACTAGCATGAAGAAAGTGTAATACAACAAATATTGTAGAAAGTGCAAATGGCAACAAAAAGGTTTATTTCGCCAATAAGGGACTTTTCTCATACATATGTACGATAAGTGGTGCAACGAGACAAACAATAACGACAAAGAGCACACATTCATAGACATTATGCATTGAATTATTATGTTGCGCTTCTAAAATCAAATATGTACTAAAATTTCAACAAAAATCAAATGAAAATTTAAACTTAAAATCAATTAGACATTAATATAGCTTACTAAAATAAAAATAAAAAAAATATTTGATAAAAAGAGGTAAATACAATTATACTGTACATACCATCATACTATACATAAATAAACGAACTGGCATCCGGCATTATTAGTGACCCAAGTTGTATTGAATGAATATATATTTGTGGACAATTTTCGTTGGGAAATTTACCTTCATTATTATTTCTTTTGTATTTGCGCGCAAATTTCTTCACTTAATTTAGTTCTGCCTTAAAATGGCACTACTAAGGCTTAATTTTGAGTATTCCAACTCGTAATCATTAAAATACAAATTAAACACTTTTTAGTAATAATACAATTACATAAGTCGTAAAGAACAAAATAGTAATATTGCTGACATTGAAGCCCCCAAAAAAAAAAAAATACTTTGGAAATTGCTTAATTTATGCTTGGAGTAAGAGTACTTAAAGCATTTTAAATACGAATACTGTCTAGACTCCACTATTTGACGTTTCTCTGGCGTCTTTAGCTGGAATGCGTTTAGGTTTTCGAGTGTTTAACATGAAATAGTACTACTCCAACAATCTAAGAATAAAGCTATAATGAATGAACAGTCGAATAACTTCAAAATGCGTTTATTTGCTAAATATAATTTTTGTCTTCTCTTAACACTCCTACATTGCACATTGCAAATTTCGTTTCTCTGATAAACGAGCTTGGTAATTAATTACATATTTTTAAAACGAAAATTACTGTTGGATTATATATTATTATATTTACCCACATGATCCTAAATTATATGACTCCCAAGCTCTACAAAATAGCGTATTATGTACATGTAAAAAAAGACACGTTAGGCAAGAGTTGAAGTGTGTAAGGAATATATCGATGGCTGAGTGGAAGATCGACCTATCTCGGAAGCCAGTTCGAAAACGCTCTATCTCAAAAAACTTTTCAAGAACGCCCTATTTCAGAATTTAATTGAAAAACACCCTATCTCAAAATTCGGTTCAAAAACGCCCTATCTCACTTCAAAATGTATTGAAAATATGCTGATATAGGGCGTTTTTGAATCGGCAGCTGAGATAGGGCGTTTTTGAAACGAATTCTGAAATAGGGCGTTCTTGAAAAGTTTTTTGAGATAGAATGTTTTCGAACTGGCTGCCGAGATAGGTCGATCTGATCTTCCACTCAGCCATCGATATGTATTTGCATTACTTTCAACTCGATACATTTCTCCGAAAATCTACAATAGAGAAAAAGTGTGAGTGTTATTTTGTAATTTTTTAAGTTTTATGTATGTATATTTAGTTTCTTATAAGTATTCTAATATATGTATATTTATGTATGTACGCATAGGTATTAGAGAATTTAAAGTATGTAGCAGCAGCAGCAGCAGTCATGAAATTAAAATCGCTAATAGTTATGTATTATGTACACCTAAAATTTATATGTATGTACATAGCATGGAATATAACTAAGCATATGTATGTATGTATGTATGTAGTGCATGCATATGTAAATACATACATACTTATGTATATGCATTATTCTAAAAATAAGTTTATCATACTCATATGCGTACGTATGTACATACATATATGAATGTGTGTATGTACATGCATATACATAGATGTACGTATGTGTATATACTAAATGCAAATATATTAATCAGCTAGATATGTATATGTACGTACATACATTTAATTTATCCGAAAATGCAGTGCTTCTCAATTCATACTGTATGTGTATGTAAGTAAGAATAACGTTAACAAAAGAATGCAGTGAAGTTAAACATTTATACAGAACAAAAAATATTAATAAAAAAACAAACATTAAAAACTTAACTATAATAGGATAATATAAATTTCTGCATCTGCGTTTAAGCTGAAAGCACACAACAACAACAAAGAAATTCTACAAAAATAAGACTAAATCATAGAGTGAAATAAGGTTGAAGATTGGAATTTTGTGCAGCACCCCCCCGACTCATTTAAAGCGCTAAATAGCAGCCAACATTATTACACATACATACATAAGTATTTAGAAAGCAAGAAATGCATACATAAATATAATTGCAAACCAAAATTTAAGTACATTATGATTCATAAAATGTTATGATGCTGAAAATCACAATAAAGTGCGAATGTTGTTGACTTTAATTTGATTAGTTTACTAAATTAAGACGCATTTAATTTTTTGTTTGCGAAAATTCGTTAGTACTCGTAGAGAACTAGCAATTTGCATATATGTAAAGTATGTGCATACCTACCTATATACATATCTACATATGTATGCAAAGCCAAATTGTTTTGAGCATTCTACTAGGCTTAATTTTATGAAATTTAATTATCAAAAATAGATTTATGAATACAATAAGAAATTTGTATTCCAAATATTGGCCAACACATGGTGAACGGTATAAAGAATTTCCGACGTTTATAAATACGTTACTCCTTAAGTTATACACAATGATGTTGTTGATTTGCCTTGGAAAATTTCGGAACGTGTTTTTTTTCAGGTGCATCATCAAACATTTTTTTATACTGAGTTCTTAGTTTTATCAAGATTCGTTTTGTCGAGGTTTCACTGTATGTACAAAATGGTTTGCATTGCCATATGGTTTGCCAAAAATAAAAGCCTCTACTACACCGGATTCGAACTTCTCAAACCATATGGCGGAAAACAAATGTACACCAATGAAATTAGGAAAGACAGCCGAAATTCTCCAGTTACAACATAAATGACAACTTCTAGTTATATTAGAGAACATGGAGATATACAAACAAATACTTTCGTCGGAAAAATAATAAACGAAGTAGTAAACATCCCTAGGCTACCATACGCAGGACAAAGGCGCTGCAACTACCACGAATAAGGGAACATAGATCCAAAGTACGGAAACCAAGAGGATGAAAATAATTTTTAACCATCTGTGGAAACAGGCCACAATAATCAAGAAGATATAAGCAGCTTATTTCTACTTATCTGCGGATTCACACTTTAGAACAACAACTGCCGGTTAGACTCCAAAAAATAGGATCCGCTAAGACGTAAATGACTAAGGGGTCGATTACGAATAGCAACGGAACTCAGTTGCGTGGCCAGTGGCGGAGATCACCACATCTCCTCAACAGACTTCTTTTTTCTAAACTTCAACTGATTTCCGAAATAGCTGCTATAACTTCTACCGCTTAGGGCCAAATTCACAGTGCGTAGTTAACTTAGAATCGGCAGTTAACCACCAATTTTTGTAGTGAAAATCTGTAGTTAACTGCCGATTCTGAGTTAACTACGCACTGTGAATTTGGCCCTTAGACTTCGTTGATTTTTCAATTTTTCCTAATAAACAATCGTGGTACAAAGCTCAATAAAAATATTAAAAATTAAATGTTAATAAGCCACATTAACATTGACAAATACATAGCCTAGGAAGAGCCTGCCTGAAACTATACAAAAAAAGCAAATAAACAAATGGATGTATAGAATTGACAACAACAACCACGCTGTCGAGTTTAAATAGCGGCAAATCAGCTGCACTTGATAGTAGTTGGTTGAAAATCAAAATTCAGTGAAAAATTATGGTAAATTGAAAATATAAAATAAGACTCAATAATGAGTGCGTGTCCACTTGCTTATCCCACGTCTCTACCGTCTGCATATTCCGTTAAAAATGCTACGTTAAGACAGAAATGTCAGGTGGAGATCGCAAATTTCCACTGTTAAACCATATCTGTCTTGTCGAAGATCGATCTGATTGGCTTGATACCATTTTGAAAGTGATATTGCACACCTAGATCTAAAGGGATCTAACTCTAAATTCAGAGTGGGGAAATATAAATGCAAGCAAATTGCCCACATGAGAAAACGGGACAAAGTTAAAACAGAAATTTGACAGATGTTAAGACACATTTAGTAGAAGGTGGAGGCGTGGTGTTATGGAGTTCTTCCAACGCTAGGCACGGCTGTTTTAGATCTTCAGTTATAACCTATACATATAAATGGGACGTTCCACGTTAATCGGGCTATTAAGATGACCGAAATTCTATGGAACGGATTATGATTAAGGAAGATTAACTAACTGTAAATTATATTTTTAGTTTTAAAACTTTTGTGAAAACGATACGAAAGAAAATTACGTGATACGTCAGGCAGTATAAGTTGAATGGGACAAAGAGTACGTTCACGTATGTCATAATCTGCAAAAATGTGTTTTTACGTAGATGAGATCTTATTTTTTTTTTTTAGTGTTCGGTTCTTCCGAGGCACAAAAGTTGGAAAGGAAAATCTAATTTACAGTTAGTTTAGACGCCATAATGAATTTTGCCATAGAATCTAGGCCATCTTACTACTTCGATTAACGTAAATCCCTTTATAACGTAGTCCCATTTATATACATATATATGTAGCTCGTGATCGATCATCAGCGGTCATTTCGCGTGTTTTGTTCACTTACCCAATTACACTACTTTGCCCATTAAAATTATATACCAACCATCCGCCAATTTAAATAAATCAAAAAGGTTTACATGAGTAGTACGTCTGTACTCACTTTTTTCTACAATTATCAAATCATTTCTTTATTTACACAGAAATGCGTTACGCTGCATTACAATTTGACTTTTACAACTAGTGCGTGCATATGTATATATATGTATGTAAGAACTCGTATTTATATGAAATTCACGTTATCCTCAACTAAAAGTATATTCGTATACATTTTATGTATACATACATATAATGAAAAAAAAAAAACAGTTTTGAAATCAGTCAAACATGGTATGTATATTAAAGGAACCCCGCCACAACTTTTGCTTTTTTAGTTCTCACAATTGTTAACTTTTTTCTCATACATAGAAGTCGCTGGCGCCATCAATGCCCAAGTAGTACTACGTTTGCNAAAAAGGTTTACATGAGTAGTACGTCTGTACTCACTTTTTTCTACAATTACAATTTACATTACATTACAATTTGACTTTTACAACTAGTGCGTGCATATATGTATATATGTATGTAAGAACTCGTATTTATATGAAATTCACGTTATCCTCAACTAAAAGTATATTCGTATACATTTTATGTATACATACATATAATGAAAAAAAAACAGTTTTGAAATCAGTCAAACATGGTATTTATGTATATTAAAGGAACCCCGCCACAACTTTTGCTTTTTTAGTTCTCACAATTGTTAACTTTTTTCTCTACATAGAAGTCGCTGGCGCCATCAATGCCCAAGTAGTACTACGTTTGTGCAAAATCCAAAGCACCACAACAACAATACTAGTCTTGTCGGCAGCATTATCAAATTTTTAAGTGCTCCATTACGTAAATTGGAAAGACTGTCGACTATGTGTATTTTCCAACCCATATTGGCGTGTGTAAAGCTATTATAGTACACAATGTCGGGCCAAGTGATATTCGGTGTGATCTCCAATATGGCGGGCTCTTCATTGGGACAAATATTAATTAGCGAACGATTGAACTTTTTGAAACTGGGAAAGTTATCATCCAAACGGCGATCATAATTAATGGGATACTTAGAGAGGCATAACGGTCCGGCAGCTGTTGGCTTGGGACGACCGCGTCGAGTAAATTCAACACCCGCCAAAACGCGAATTTCACTCTGTTTTGCATCGCTGAGCCGATCGTAGCCACCATGAGGTTCATCTGTTATCACCATGGGATGATAATGTTCCGGCGAATGTGGATTGTTGCCACCGCGCACCTGAGTGGTAGAGAAAAGTCAAAGTATTAATATATTTGCGTGTATTAGCCCCACCCAACATAATTCGGTCTTCAAAGGGTTTCAAACGGTTTCATAGGCTGCTTGCCCATATTTACCTTGAAGGCATATGTAAGTCCTCGTTTTAAATACAGTTCCGGTGTCATATAGCCGTTAATGTACCAAGCTAAACCACTGGAAACGTGTCCGGTTATTCCTTGATAGCCGCGTAAGCCACCGGAAGGTCCCAAGTAGGCATTAAAAACACGCAATGTGCTGAAAGAATATTTACAATTGAAGGTCAATTAAAGTTTCAGAGATTTAATTATATAAACTATACTACGCTGCACATATACTCACGGATCATATAAACGTATACGTTCCCATACTTGGACAGGAGTTTCTGGACGTTTTGTAAAGCTGAAGCAGTCATTTATTGCCTCTGTTGTATTGAAGTCGATGAGTATATCACTTTTCGGATAAACATAATGGAATGCTGGCTCTGAGTTGGAGTCTAACTGACCTAGAGCCCAAATAACATAATTACTCTTGTCGAGTCGTATCTCTTTGTCGCCAGGATCCGCTATTAACAGAGAAAAAATAAGATAATTTTTATTACACATATTCATTATTTTTGCCACGTACAAACTTAAATTTTGAACCTTATAAATACATAACTATTTAGGGGCTTCCTGGCCAATCGGCGATCACATAATACGTACTAGTACATACATATATGGATGTGTGCTTCACCCACCCACCGGTCGGGAAATCGGCGAAGGTGCCTAGACCTTGCAATCAGTCAGTGTTAAATTAAGAAGCATGATGGTTCTTTATACTGCTGTCCTTGATCCATCCTAGGTGCACGTCCTGTTATAGTCAGGTCAGAGTTCCCTTGATGTCTTGCAATTCTGTATCTCTGACCATTTGTTTCTAACGGGTCCAAGTAAATTCAGCTTAATTTTTTCTTTCCAGAACCATCATTTCATATTCATCCAAACAGGCCTTCTTTTTTTGAGTCCAAGGCGTCAAAACAATTAAGGCGGGATGCGTACACATATCAAATTTAGATTTTAGGCCTCGATTTGTGCTGAAAACTCCCTCGAAAGTGTAGGATTCTGTATATTATTTTCAACCTCGACTTCCCAATCTTGGAGGTCTAGAATCTTTTGGTATTTCGTATACAAAAAATTTCCGAAAGAGTCGGGAGAGACTCACTATGACAAATTATCTATGAACCCTTTAGAAGAATCATATCATCGTTTACAAATTCTAACGATTGACAATGATACATACTATATACATAACTGTAGAAGAATGATACATATGTAACTAATGTATATTTATTTACAAATCGGACTTTCTACGGAGGAAAATATCTAAGGGCATATGGGGGAATGTCGATTTTAAAATACTCACATGATATTAGGGTACGTCGAAAAGTTATTGTGTTAATGCCATCCTTACGGCTGTACGTATTAAGTTGAAAACTGTCCAAACCGCCAACGACGTCATCGCGACACACGCCCTTATTTTGACCCAACACTTGCACACACTAAAATATATCCAAAGATGCAAATGTATTAAGATCCATCCATCGATATCGAAATTTCAATTCTAGTTATTACCGGTGCCAAAGAAGTAATGTTGTAATCCACTGAATAGCCACGTATATCATCCATGTACGCCACAACCGCATCTCCGCCTATCATTTGACTTGATGTCTCCGAACCGGATAGGCCAAATGACATATAGTCATTCTTTTCCACCTGGCCGGATAGCTGCAGTGTGATTTGTGGGCCAAATACTTCCCAGGAGACTTGCAGATTCTTATGCAACTGCCGGCAATTAGGCAGCGAAAATTCATAGGGTGTTATTTTTACCAACGACGGCGGCACATTCAAATTATCGGCAATTAGAACATGACCGAAATTTTCGTTATCAGCCAAATCATAAATACTAATCCAATCAATGTCGAAAATCGTCTTGTCACCGGGCAGTTCTAAAGTGATAGTCTCCTTGTCATATTTCCGTATGGGATCCAAACTATACGGAGCAAAGTATATATGTAAGAGATACCATATGTATGTACATACATATTTATTTTATTATTGCAAATACTTACTATCCCATTTCGTCGGGTATCTTATTGCCGCGGCTTGATGGCTGCGCACCCACGCCGGTCCAAAAGAACGTACGCTTGCCCAATCCATCGTAGGTGAAATCTGTGATGCGTATCGTCTTTGAGTCTAGCATATCTATGGCACTGCTGCTGACATTGTGACTGCGACGAGAGAACGTACCGCCTGCCTGTGCGCGTGGTGGTTCGAATTCCTCCGGAATGTAAACATCGCCGAAATTATTTTGATTGTTTAGATCGTAAACGGACAACCATTTAATTTCTGTAATTTTCTTTCGATCAGGCAATGTGAGCGTGAAGTCTTTGTTATGATAACGATCCAGTATGTTGGTTCTATGAAATCAGGCAGTGTGAAATGGCTTGCGTGGAAGTGCATAAATGTATATTCTCACATACTTGCCATATTCGTCGGGCACAATAAAACCTTGGGGCCCCGGACGATTTGATGCGCCAGCCCAGAAGAAGGTATCAGCGCCATTGCCATCGTAATTAAATCCAATTATCAGAAAGGTATATTCGTTTACTGCGTAGACATCGCCGGAGACCTACAATTTTTTCAATTTATTCAATGCTCCCTACGATGAATTAGGGTCAACTGATATTTGTTTTACTCACCTGATGATGATATGAATTGAGTTTTCCTAAATACTTTCCCTGGTAGGGACCCTCTTCTTCCTCGTCCATAGCCACTAAAATATTGATAGAGAAAAAAATTGTTAAGTAGATATTGCTTTTGTTCTTCTTCTTTCGTTAAAGTTCGATCATAATTTTGTATCAGTGCTATACCTCGTTCAGCAATATTATTAATATATTTAATACTCTTAATCGTCTCTAAGATAACCATTTTCATTTGTTAGAGAATTTAATGTCCTACAAGAATATGCCCAGAAAAAGTTTTTACCTCAAACGGTTCAATAGTTATAACATTTTTAATGAAAAAAAAAAGAAAAATGTTCATTTAATTTATATAGAAAATTTCAAATGCCCACCGACGCCTTCCAAAATTGGGAAAAAATCCCAATTGGCAGAATTTTATTCTCAGTTAATAGGGCCGTTTAAGGTAATGGTTTATTTGGATCACCCTAATGTTTAACTATTACTTGCAAAGGAATAACTCCACACAAATTTTTGCCGACAGGCGGTGGTGGTCAGATTTGGTTCCTATTTAGAAAGCTAGTTTTATAAAATATTTTTTTTTTTTAACTATTAACTTATTTTCAGTTTTATTCATTGTACGAGTCAGCGACAATTCAACTCCCTGACCCAGAACCATGGGTCCTTTGTAAATAATAAATGATAAGATTGTACGCGATTTAAAGGTTTTAAAAAGACAAACAAACAACGCCGAAGAGAGCGAAAGAGTACTGCTAGCGGGCGGGTATTACCAAAGTGGTGGCTTCAATCATCGGAAAGTTAATTTTTGTGTTCACTTTGTATCAACAATTAGGCATTCCATTTATCAATGTGACTCATACATACATATATGTATGTATGTATGTACATATGTTAGCCAAATTTAAATTTAGCAGATAGTTATTTAATTATTTATATGGCTATATGTATATCCATCCACACATACAGATGTATGTAAATACATTAATACANTTTACACTTTTGTTTTTGTAGTACGGCATAAATGAGTAGTTTGACTATTAGTACTGAGGACTTTCTGATGACAACATTGAGGGGAAAGTACTCAAATTTTTCCCATGGCCTGAACGAAAATGAGGACTTTGATAAGCACTTTTGTGATTAGGGATAATGATAATATGAGTACTCATATGATACTCAGCTGTCTTGTAGGGTAGTTATTTAATTATTTATATGACTATATGTATATCCATCCACACATACAGATGTATGTAAATACATTAATACATACATGCAAACATACATACATTTCTGTGTTCGTATCGAATAGTAGCTTGTGTCGGGAAGTTGGCTTTAGTATAATGCGGCATTTCCTTTGTTCTTTAAACGACAATGAATTTTTTGATGAGGCTTGATAAGAATATTGACTTGCTAGTATCGGAACCACTTCTTGCACGTTTATGTGCCAAAAGTTCTTCAACGGCTCGGCGCCGTGAGTCATTCGCAATCGTATGCTGCGAATTCCGCATTATACAAAAGCCAGCCTTTCGACATAAGCTACTATTCCATACGAACACGGATAATTATTATTAAATTTTTTCTTTGTTATGACTCAAATTAAAATTTGTGGGGAAATTGCATTTTTTTAGTTACTCATTCACACTCTCTCAACAGCAGAGCTGCCTGACGGCTCTCACACGTTGCGTGTGGAAACAAAAGAGTTAAGACACAAACTTTGTATGCAATAATGATCGCGTTCACAACTAAAAAACTAAAAAAAAAAACAAAACAATAACAGGTAAGCATTTATTTGCTAGTACAAGCGGATAACTTCAAGGTACAAATGTGTATGTACATATGTTTTCTAATTCTTATTTCGAAACACTGTGGAAGTCAGTTTTTACTGCATTTAAATTTCCACAGCGGTATTGCGGGCCTTCATTGTTAATTTTTCTGCTAAGATTTTTTTTAATGCATAAATATGTACATAGATAGCACGTATGTATGCTGTATNTCGAAACACTGTGGAAGTCAGTTTTTACTGCATTTAAATTTCCACAGCGGCGTTGCGGGCCTTCATTGTTAATTTTTCTGCTAAGATTTTTTTTAATGCATAAATATGTACATAGATAGCACGTATGCTGTACTTTTATCAAACCATGAGGACGGTGATATACACGCTACGCGTTCCACGCCACCAGTTTCGCAGGTTTTGCACTGAAAGTGAATTGGATTTCGCTACTGTTACAGTTATGAGTGCACGCTAAGCGTAATGTAGTAACAAAGAAATGAGACTTAAAAGCGAAAATGGTTAAAGCAGTGGGAAAGAAATGTACATACATACGGGACTATGTTTATAAATTAGGGTGGTCCAAAAATACAAGCGGCGGGAAAAAGTTTAAAATGTTAATCTCTCACCCCCTAGGATTTTTATTTGTCGATCGGAAAATTATGTTTTCTTCAGAAGACTTCCAATAACAATACCCAACTCTTTATTTAACCATTTTTTAGTATTAACAATTTTTTATAGGTCTCCCGAAAACCCAAATAAATGCAATGGGCGACCCATATAAAAAATAGTAAAATAAATAATCGGGAATTATTACTGGAAGTCTCCTGAAGAGAAACAGAGTTTCAGAGTTTCCTGGGCGAAAAATATTGATTTTCAAGAATTCTATACCATTTCTATGAAGAAGCGTTTTTCCTCCATATAAAATACATATATGGAAAACTTCATGGGCAGTCCCAAATATTATTTTTTTACAAAAAAAAACCCCAAGNGGGCGAAAAATATTGATTTTCAAGAATTCTATACCATTTCTATGAAGAAGTGTTTTTCCTCCATATAAAATACATATATGGAAAACTTCATGGGCAGTCCCAAATATTATTTTTTTACAAAAAAAAACCCCAAGTTTTTTTTTTATTCCTTTTAAAAAAATCCCAGCGGTGAGAGCTTAGCATTTTAGACCTTTTTCTACCACCCTAATGTAGATATATGTATGTATATGTACAATGAATATGTATATACATACATATGTATGTTCGCAATAATATTTACCAATCTCCAATGTGTGTATGCAAATATACCTTATACTANTTTTATTCCTTTTAAAAAAATCCCAGCGGTGAGAGCTTAGCATTTTAGACTTTTTCTACCACCCTAATGTAGATATATGTATGTATATGTACAATGAATATGTACATACATACATATGTATGTTCGCAATAATATTTACCAATCGCCAATGTGTGTATGCAAATATACCTTATAGTATATGTATGTATGTTTGTACTCACAACAAATTTGGAATAGATATACTGCCAAAAGCAGGATGGCTAGCCAAAACTTCCTGCATAATTGCCGATTTCCATAAGTACTTCTCGCTTGGCCATCATAAACGCTTTGACTGCGTGGCCTCGGCACTTTGCATTCGTCACAATTTCCGTTTTTGCGAGTTTTCAATAAAAACATATCACTAACGTAGCTAACTATGCTATTATATGTATGTGAATCTTAGTGGGGATTATTGCTTTAAAATTAAAGCGTTTTGGTCATCCACTTGTTATTTACATGTGGATATTTACTTAACATTCTTCGTTTTCACACCTTTTGGCATATGTTTTAAATAAATCAATCACTTTCACATAAAAACACGAGAGTAAAATTAACAAACGAACAACAAAATAAAACGAGCTCTAGTCGCTAATACCAATACGCAACCATTGTCGTTTTTTTTTTTTTTTTGTCCACTAAGCCACTTTAAGCAATGCCCACAAGTAAATCAGCTGCGCTTGCGCGTTTATCGCTATGTATGTGCGATTATATATGTACATATAATGTAGTTATGTATGTACATATAAATATGTCTGTCCCACCATAAAACCGTATAAGCGACAATATTGTTGACTCACAACCTCGACAATGTTTCCGCAGCGACTGATTGTCCACTCTTTGGGCCTTTTCACTTCAACCTGTTGAATGCGTTGGCGCTGAGCGAAGGTAAAGACACTGCTGGTTGCTCATGGTAGGTGTCCGGAGAGAATTTTATATAACAAGTAATTTTTAAGCAAAAAACATAACCGACTTCAATTTTTACTTTCTTCATGATCCAATAATCGGATTTAAAGCAAATTAGTATGGGACCACCTTTGGGGTAACACCTTTAAAAAAAGAATTATAGAAATCGGTTAACGCAGTCCAAAGTTATGCGCTAACATACATAAAAAAAAAAATATTCCGACTAAGAACTGATAACCTTCTCCTTTTTGTGAAGTCGGTTAAAAAAAAGGCAACTAGTGGTTTTCTCAGCAACTGGACGTGCGTGAGTATTTCAAACGCTTTCTTTAAAGACATGTGCAATGGTCACGAATGCAAAGGTGAAAGAGATACATAGGCATGTAGGTGAGAATTGTATTTAATAAGTTAGTTAGGGGATAAGTTAATATAACTGAGTGTCACAAAAGGTATTTCCGGTAGGAATTTAGCGCCATGAAACAATTTTAAAGTGAGTATATATGTATTTAATTTAAAAAAATTTAATTTTGTTCATTTTTATTTTGCTTTGGAGTAACTACATCATAATTTTTTAAAGCTTGGTTTCACTAAAGCGTTACACCCGATTTACATGATTCAACTACTTAAAAGAAATTTTTGCTCATTCTCTTTTGTGTTTTCTATTTGCTTTTACATGCCTCAATTCTGTTGAATTCAAGTTTTTGGTTCTTTAAATGGGAAACAACGAAAATGTTAAAGGCAAAGCAAGAACGTTGAAACGACTTGACAGTACAGATGCATGTGTACTCGGCCCTTTTCTTCTCACCCCCTCTCTTCCACAGGTGAGCAGGATTGAATTCAATACTTGAACTGTGTAAAAGCAGTCTTATTCAAAGCACATTTCGTCAAACTTTGTGACTTTAGTATAATGCACCACTTATAGCATATGCTTGCGAATGTTGGCGTAGTCATTTAAATACAAATGAATGTAATAGCACATTTGCACCAAAAGTTTAACTGCAGGTTCCAAGAATTTTACATGGGGTGATGGGCAAGTTTATTTTTTTTACTTTTTGATTTCTTACCTTCGTTTATTTGAGCTTACCTCTTTCTAGTTGTAATTTCCTTTTTCTAATATGCATAAGCTGCAGTTAAGGCTTTGTGGAAATGAACTATAAGACATATAATTTTGATGCTAACTGCTCAAATCTTATGCCGAATTTCCACTAGGCACTCAAATGACAAAAAATGTATGCCATGAAATGAACTTAATGACTATTTTTTAATGTAATGATTCGATTATTTTTTAATGCCCGTCTTTGTCATTTTTGCCATTTAATGTCTAGTGGAAATCCAGCATTATAAACAAATTCCTTGTAACTTAGAAAATGTAGTGAATATAGCATTACATATACATACATATGTACATGTACATAGGTATGGTAGTCTTAGACTTATGCTTCTATTCTATGTTGAATGAAATTTTTTCGAGAACATGTTATTAAATATTTTGATAGGTTTCTCTCAGATACGCCCTTATCCTAAATTTATTGTTTTTCTCCTAGTCGGGCCGAAAGAAAAACAATTTTTTCTCAAGTCCGCACAACCCATTGGAAATAAGTTTAAACAAATAATAGATTTCTGGATTTAGGATACTTAATGTTTTTCGACTTAGATATTAGGTTGCGAAAAAAAGGATTGGAGTAATAAATAGTCCCCATATTTTCTCAATTTGTTGCTTTAACCCTTTTACTATTCTTTATTCACTTAAATTACGTCAATTAGCTCGATATCCACATTTCTAAGGACCATTTTCTCAGTGGCGACCGAATTTGCTCATTACTTTTACTAAAGATGTAAGAAAGAGTTAATAGCGAGTCAGACAATAATTCAAACAGTGTTTAAACAGTGTTTGTCAACTGATATTCAGCAGCATTTCATTATTTTTTGAAATCAAATAATTAAAAAGAAGTGCTGGCCTACTTAACCGGAACAAACCCAAGGACTGTCACTTCAACAGTATTCCCCAAATCTTCATGGGGAATATTTATGCTGTCACATCAACAGCAATAGGCAATGTATACAACACTGCCGGACAATGAAATTAGTTTAAATAAAAAATCATCGTTATGTAATTTTTGTTTAAATAGTTTTATTAATACAATGTTTAAACTCTGATTTAAAATTAGATTACACACATGTAAGTAAATAGTATTGTTTGGTGTATACAAGTACGATTTGCGTTATACAGTATTAATATAAAATAATATGTACATATGTATGCATTGCCAAATAAGACGAATATAAAATAGTTTTTGAAAACATACATGTATTTATATGTGCACAATTATGTACTACAGATCTATGTATACGCTTATGTTTTGTATGATAATACCAAAAATTTGTTAATTACCTGGGTTTATTTAGCTCACACTATGAGTTTATCGTTGAACTGATTTGAAAATATTCATTTTTTCATTTGCATGTATGTTATTAACTTATGAAAATCTCGTTTCTTGTGCAGATCAAGCTTGTTTTCTTCTTTTCGATTCAAACTATTAATTTTTCTTTTGCTACCATTTACAATCGTTTTCCTCACAACAAGCATTCACATAAATATAATAAATTATACATATATATATAATACATATCACTTTTTCAATTTTGCTTTGCATTTCATTTTTTTATGTTGTTCGTGTGACTTTCATAGTTCTTAGAGGTGTATAGTTTTAATTGTAGTGATGTACTATATATTAATTGCCTTTAAAAAAATTTTGCGTTCAGATATTTTGCTTTGGCATATACGTATACCTTCAAGGTTCATGTTGCTTAACAAATTCCTCAAGCAATTTTGGTATTTGGTCGCGATATGGAATTTTGTATTTACTTATTATTGTAGCAGATAGACACTTGAGATTCATATAATTCATTAGTGGTATCGTATTGGCTGGATTGCTTACAATCAAATTAAATGGTCGCTCATCTGATTTATTTGGCTGGTCTAAATCTGCACCGTGTTCTAGCAATAATAGTATTATCTATAAAAAACAGAAGTTAAAAAATTCTCAATACACAATTGAAAAATTATATATTTTCAAGCTTACATCGTTGCTATAATTGTAAGGTTGCACGGCAACATGCAATGGCGTTGATTTGGCCTCATTTTTGGCGTTTACATTCATGCCACAGTCAAGCAGCAATTTGATAACATTTGCATTTGGAAACACAATCTATGTACAAAAAAAAGTACGTTATAAATAAGTCAGCTTTACATATAAAAATTGAGGCTTTTATACGTACCGTTAAATTATTCTCATCGCTCAGATAACCACTCTTTATGACATTCAGGCGTGAAACACATAGATGTAACAACGTGTCGCAAGTGCAAGCACTGCGCACATTCGCCCGCACAAGCTCTCGCACCGCACAGAACACAGACTTTTTTTGCTCATGCGTATTTGCCGTATTAATTAGCAAATAAATTAAATGAGCGATACATTTTAATATGCGATCGAAATTTTCTTGTTGCTTCCGATAGACTGGCCGTACTAGCAGCAATTCTTGCGCATCGGCGATTGTATCGGTTAGTAGGCAAAATACGCCGAATACATCTTCGAACAGCGGCAAAGGCTCTTCTTTCACTGCATTTGCTTCACCTTGCAGCAATGCAGGTGAAATTTCGTTTGCACGTTGATTCCTGTTGCGCATATAGCGTTCGTGCAAGTCGATCATTAAACGTACTAGTGCTTGAGCCGCATAACATGTATCAAAATGGAGTACGGAGCAATGCGTAACCCGCACTTCTAACAAAAGTCGCCACAAATCGATGCAACGTTGTAGCTGTAGAGAGTCGGCATAAGAGGCGCCTCGAAAAGTTAAACGGAAGAGCATATCTTTGTGCGTTATGCCGAGTATACGCTCGCAAATCAACAAACTTTGTATACGCATTGCATCCATATCAGTAGCAATATTGTCAAGCTCTTCGAGTGTCGTAAATTCAACGGCATTCCCATATGCAGGACGCAGTGGTACTCTTGGCTGTTTTTCTGGATTCAGATGTAAGGAAATTTGAAACATACATATTTTCATTAGACCGAATCATATTTATGTATGAAAATACTGACCTAGGTAGGGAGTATGTGAAGCTCGTATGTGATGTGCTAATCGCCAATGAAGTATTGCCACTCTGGTTTCATTATGTTCATCCAAAAACGTTGAGCCTAAATTAATAAAAACAAAAATATATATATACATTCTCAACTGCGATTAGTAAATAAATCTTTCAATCTTGATTACCGATCAATTCGTGGGCCTCAGCAATGCGCTCGGGCGAATATTCGAGATGCGTTTTCAAATAATCGAAAATTTGATTAGCTCCTTTAATGCAAGCAGTGCGTAATGCATCATCGCCATAGCGACTTTTTACATATGGGTCCGCACCGTGTTCCAGTAATAGCTTTGTAGTTTCTAATCTGAGGAGGAAATTTAAATTTTAAGTGTTGAAATCAAATGTCAATTGCTGAGCATGGGTAAGCACGCAATTAATTACAGATAATTATTAGTTCTGACGAACCTATGTTCCTGTATGGCGTAATGTAGGGCAGTCTTCTCTTGTATATCCTTGGCGTTGACATCAGCGCCCTTTTTAATCAAATATAAACATAATTGAATCGATTGTACAGAATTTATGAGACAAGTTCCGCCATTCATGTTTGGCTTTTTGATATCAGCACCCGCTTCGACTAAATATTGTACTGCAAGAATAAAATGCTAGATTAGACACACACGTATGTATGTACATGTAAAGCAGTATGTATACACTTACCAATTTCAACATGTGTCATGAAACAAGCACTACGCACTGGTGTTGATCCTGAATCTGAAGTAGCATTTATATCACAGCCAATGCGAATTAAATATTTGACCATTGGTAATTTTCCAGATACAACGGCGCACCAGAGTGGTGTGACGTAATGAAATGTACGATCTTCTGGCACCTCATAGAGGCCACGCTGCTCGATATCGGCCTCACACACGGTAACCAGATACTCTGCTATAGGAACACAGCCTCGTTTACAAGCAATGAATAGAGGAGCGCAACCATTTCGCATTTTTTTAACGATTTCACGGCGTATATCGCGACAATAGCTGGAAATATATACAATATAATTATAACAACTGTAAAGTACTGTTCTGAACTAAATACATTTTAATATTAAAATATTGGCAAATACAGCATAGTTTTTACAACAATTGAGTTTATGTTACCGCATCGACTGAGATTTAACCCGCTCCAGGTCTGACATATGTAAATAGCTTTAAGAGTTGTAACACAAAAGTTTTTGACAATACAATATGCATATCTATTATTTATCTATCCTTATTTGTATCCCGAAGTACATACATACATATGGTTACCTTAATTCACAACGGCCCTAATCAACACTTTTTTCGAAACAGCGTTTTCATAGATTTTTGTAGGATATATTAAAATGCAACAAAAAAAGTTTAAAGATTTGGTGCCAAAAACAACGGAGTTACATGTCACTTTTTAAAGAGCCGTACCTGTTTTTAACCGACCTTACAAAAAGGAGGAAGGTTATCAATGCGTTGGAATATTTTTATTTTTTTATATTTTTTTAGGATGTTACCGCATATCTTTGGACCACGCTAACCGATTTCTATAATTCTTCTTTTAAAGGAAATATGCCACCTCACAGGTGTTCCCATTCTAATTTGGTTTAAATCCGATCATTGAATCTTGAATGAAATCTAAAATTTGTATATTNGAAGGTTATCAATGCGTTGGAATATTTTTATTTTTTTATATTTTTTTAGGTATGTTACCGCATATCTTTGGACCACGCTAACCGATTTCTATAATTCTTCTTTTAAAGGAAATATGCTACCTCACAGGTGTTCCCATTCTAATTTGGTGTAAATCCGATCATTGAATCTTGAATGAAATCTAAAATTTGTATATGAGAATTGAAGTCGGTTTTGTTTTTAGTTTAAAAATTACTTGTTTATACTCGTTTTATAATGGTTGGCAAATAAATGTAATAGTAATAAATATGATGCCAGCAAGCATCCGTCAATATCCTCGTAATCATCAGAAAATTCCTTGGGGTTTAAATAACAAATGGAAAGGTGCATTATAGTGAAGCTAGCTCGTAGACTTAAGCTACTTTGTATTGTTGCAACAGAATACCTAGGTCCTTTAAAGTTTTGATTATCATCATGATTTATGAAGCGTCGATTATCGTAAATTTACTCATTCGGGATTTATGTTTTTACTTATTGGTATTTATGTATGTAAGTATGTACCTATAAATGTCCCCGTACTTATTAAAATATGTGCAAATGAATATGCACATGTGCATGTACATGAACGACTGGCAGTACTGCATACAATGCCTCATTAATTAAATTAACGCAACCACTGTCAACCTTAATTGTGTGCCAATAGTTGTGACCATTTTCAGCGTGCGCTCTTATGCAATTGATAAAAAAAAAAAA